GCAACCTCCGTCTCCCAGATTCAAAGGTTTCTCCTGCCTCAGCCTCCTGAGTAGCTGGGATTACAGGCACATGCCATCATGCCCAGCTAATTTTTGTATTTTTAATAGAGACTGGGTTTCACCATGTTGGCCACACTGGTCTCAATCTCCTGACCTTGCCCAGCTCTATAGATCACTTTAAAAATGGAATGAGACCGGGCACAGTGGCTCACGTCTGTAATCCCAGCACTTTGGGAGGCTGAGGCGGGTGGATCACTTGAGGCCAGGAGTTTGAGACCAGCCTCGCCAACATGGTGAAACTCTGTCTCTACTAAAAATACAAAAATTAGCTGGGTGTGGTGGTGTGCACCTGAGTCAAGGGTCAAAGGTGATTTCAGCTTGTCCTCCTTTAGACTTGGCCCAGTATTGGGTGGGGATTGAATTGTCCCTAGAGGTAGAAGACTGGGGCATCTCTGCCCTTGAGGTTAACTTGCAGTTGCCTCCATATTATCCTAACCCCATAGTCCCCTCCTGTTCCTGGCCCTGAAGCAGGAGGTTGGGCTCCACTTCAATAGCAGTGTACTTGGCTGGGCTCTGGGGCCACTGGTCAGCTGTATCCGCTGGGGTGGGGACAAAAAGCCCTGTCAGCACTGCTGCCTGCCATACCTATTTCCTGCTCCCACAGCCAAGAGGCCCTGGAGGAAGCTGGGCTTTGAGGAAAAGGAGGGCTAGCTCTCTTCAGGCAGTTCCCTTTGCTCCCTGGTTTCTTTCTGTAGGATTCACTTTCTCATTCAAACTGAGCCCTCTGTACTCAGTACAGAGAGCAGATCAGGGCTAGAAGGTGGGTTGGTAGCTGAGGAATGAGGCTCAGGAGTAGGGGAGGTGGGATACTGGTGGACAAAGATGGATAGAGAAGTGGAGAAGACACTGGCACGGTGGCTCATGCCTATAATCCCAGCACTTTGGGAGGCTGAGGTGGGGGGATCACCTGAGGTCAGGAGTTCGAGACCAGCCCGTCCAACATGGCAAAACCCTGTCTCTAGTAACAATGCAAAAAAAATTAGCCAGATGTGTAGCATGTGTCTATAATCCCAGCTACTTGGGTGGCTGAAGCAAGAGGATACTTTGAATCTAGGAGGCGGAGGTTGCAGTGAGCCAAGATTGTGCCACTGCACTCCAGCCTGGGTGACAGAATGAGAATTTGTCTAAAAAAAAGAAACCCCAAAAACAAAAAGCAACAACAAAAAAGAGAAGTAGAGAAGCAGTAGGGATTAAAATGTCAACAAGCCACTCAGGTGCCATGGCTCCTCTCTATAATCCCAGTTACTCCTCAGAAAGCTGAGATGGAAGGTTTCCTTGAGGCTAGGAGTTTGAGACCAGACTGTGCCACATAGCAAGACCTTGTCTCTAGAAAAATTAAAACAGGCTGGGTGCAGTGGCTCACGCCTGTGATCCTAGCACTTTGGGAGGCTAAGGCGGGTGGATCACTTGAGCTCAGGAGTTCGAAACCAGCCTGGCCAATATGGTGAAACTCCATCTCTACTAAAAATACAAAAAATTTAGCCAGGTGTGGTGGTGTATGCCTGAAGTCCCAGCTGCTTGGGAGGCTGAGGCAGGAGAATCACTTGAACTCAGGAAGTGGAGGTTGCAGTGAGCTGAGATCGCGCCATTGTACTCCAGCCTGGGTGACAGAGCGAGACTCGAAAGAAAGAAAGGAAAGAAAGGAAAGAAAGAGAGAAAGAAAGAAAAGGAAAAGAAAAGAGAAAGAAGAAAAGCAGGCTGGGCATAGTGGCTGACGCTTGTAATCCCAGCACTTTGGGAGGCTGAGGTGGGTGGTTCACCTGAGGTCAGGAGTTCATGACCAGCCTGGCCAACATGGTGGAACCTCATCTCTATTAAAAATACAAAAATTTGGCCGGGTGCGGTGGCTCACGTCTATAATCCCAGCACTTTGGGAGGCTGAGGTGAGTGGACCACGAGGTCAAGAGATTGAAACCATCCTGGTCAACATGGTGAAACCCCGTCTCTACTAAAAATACAAAAATTAGCTGGGCATGGTGGCATGTGCCTGTAGTCCCAGCTACTCAGGAGGCTGAGGCAGGAGAATTGCCTGAACCCAGGAGGCGGAGGTTGCGGTGAGCCGAGATCGTACCATTGCACTCCAGCCTGGGTAACAAGAGCAAAACTCTGTCTCAAAAAAAAAAAAAAAGCCGGGCGCGGTGGCTCAAGCCTGGAATCCCAGCACTTTGGGAGGCCGAGGCGGGTGGATCACGAGGTCAAGAGATCGAGACCATCCTGGTCAACATGGTGAAACCCCGTCTCTACTAGAGATACAAAAAATTAGCTGGGTGTGGTGGCACGTGCTTGTAATCCCAGCTACTCGGGAGGCTGAGGCAGGAGAATTGCCTGAACCCAGGAGGTGGAGGTTGCGGTGAGCCGAGATCGCGCCATTGCACTCCAGCCTGGGTAACAAGAGCAAAACTCTGTCTCAAAAAAAAAAAAAAAAGCCGGGCGCGGTGGCTCAAGCCTGTAATCCCAGCACTTTGGGAGGCCGAGGCGGGTGGATCACGAGGTCAAGAGATCGAGACCATCCTGGTCAACATGGTGAAACCCCGTCTCTACTAAAAATACGACAAAGTAGCTGGGCATGGTGGCACATGCCTGTAATCCAAGCTACTCAGGAGGCTGAGGCAGGAGAATTGCCTGAACCCAGGAGGCGGAGGTTGCGGTGAGCCGAGATTGTGCCATTGCACTCCAGTCTGGGTAACAAGAGCGAAACTCCGTCTCAAAAAAAAAAAAAAAAAAAAAAAAAATTAGCGGGGCTTGGTGGCACATACCTGTAATCCCAGCTACTTGGGAGGCTCAGGCTTGAACCCAGGGGGTGGAGGTTGCAGTGAGCTGAAACTCCATTGAAACGCCATTGCACTCCAGCCTGGGCAACAAGGGTGAAACTCTGCCTCAAAAAATAAAAATTAAAAAAATAAATAAAGTAAAATAAAATATAAACACGCCATGTATTTCCAATTCAGAATCTGCTGTGGTAGCGGGTGGTAAATTGGTTGCATATCTCTCCTTTTCCCTGCCTACATCCCTGGACAGAGCTGAGAAGAGAACCTTGTGGCACAAAGCTGCAGACTCTGACTCTGAACTAGAATTCAGAGTCCTGTAAGCTTTTTCCATTTCGGTGTTGTGACCCATGGTTACTCTGCAGGGAATCATAAATTTGTATTTGGGGATCCTATTCCCCTGACAATGTGGCAGCAATTTTTGTGCTGGTGCTTCTAGTTGGAAACCTGGCTGCTATTTGTGGTTGTGAGCCAGCCACAGCGCCTAGGATAAGGGCAGTGGTTACAGGCCGGGGAGATGGGGTACTAGGTTGTTGAGTGGCTGGAGTCCAGTGGGGGGTAAAGGATAGGTGACTAGCTGAGGAGGATCAGCAGATTTGAAAGATTTGTGGAGGGCAAGACACAGGCACTTCGGTCATTTTGTGTGGTGCTGCACACTTGGGTCTTTAATTATTAACTTAGCACTGGTGTGGCCTGGAGCTGTGGGGACATTTCTGCCCAGCCCTGTGATAAGATTTGTTGTTTATTTTCTTGTTTAGGCAGAAAGGCAAGCATTTGTATAGGACAGGAATGCCCCTTCTCAGGAAGAGTGGAAAGGAACTTGGGCCGGGAGTTGAATGAGGGTGGTGGTGGAAAGATGAGAGAGAGCAGATGGTACAGCTGTTCTGAGAGGCCAGTCTTTCCTGCTTCTCAGGATGAAGTAGCCAGAATGTGATGAGGCCAGGACACCACAAAACAGGAGGACTACACCATCAGGGCCACACCACTGCCAGGAGAACCCAGGCAGAGAGCGTTTCTGACTGCGTTGGTGGTATGAGGCAGGCAAGCCCTGTACTAAGCCTCTTTCTCTTGACTGGTAAGGCAGGGCGATGTTGACCTTGCTCTCGGAGCCCTTGGAAAAAGGGCTTTAAAGTTAAGCCCTCCTTACGGAACGTGGGAAGGAGGGAGCAATGAAGTGATTCCCTGTGCTACCAGTGGGAGATCTGTGTTGCTTTTTCCAACTCTTTTCTCTGCCACATCCTGAGGATACTGGTCAACCTCACAGCGTGTGTGGGCTTCCCTTTTTGAATTTCTTCAAGTAATTCAAATTCAAGTAGTAGATTGTAACTTTTTTGTTGGGGGAGGGATAATGGACTTCTTTGAGATTCTGATAAAAGCTATGATCCTTTTCTAAGAAAAGATATGAACCTTTTTCTTAGGTATGTCTGTATTCATATGGACATAACATTTCGAAAAAGAATTTTGAGACGTATGGAGGCCCTACTTAAGAACCCTGGTAAAAGGATTACCTGTATTTCTGAGTAGAAGGACTAGGGGAATGTGTGTGGCTCTTACTTCTCTATTGTCCCATCAGGAAAAATGCCCTGTTCCCATTCTACAGGAACCACTCTTAGCTGCAAGAATCTTTCCAAGCACAAAAGCAGGCAGCTGAGCTGCCAGGCACTGGGCAGGAAATCTGGCCTTCATCCTAATCCTTGGCCGCGCGTCCTGACCTGCTGGCTCAGCATTGGATAAGTCACAGCAGGACTCCTCAAGGTTGACAGTTATACCACAGAGTCAGACTGCTGTGTCCTGGAGCCCATGGGGAATGGGAGGTAGGAGGGAAAGACTGACTCTTCAGAGCCAAGAGCCAGAACAATCACTAATCCTGTACAGCTCCCAGTTGCCTCCCACTGCTGTGATTGGAAATTTGGGTGTATTTTTATGTAAGCAGATCCACAGTCACTTTGTTTTGTGTCTCCCATATAAGGTGCTGGGGGTAGGGAGTATGGAGGCCTTTACATGATAATGATGAGGACATTCTGGGGCTGGAGGGTTCCAGTGCACAGCAGGTCAGAGGATCTGTCTTTGGCTGAAGAGTCTATCTTGGTGACTGGTACTGGAAAAATTGCTTGGGAGTCTAAGGGCCTAATGGTAGTAAGGGTCAGTCACCAATCAGTATTATTTTTCTTTCAGGTCTCTTAACCTTCATTAACTGTGCTTATGTCAAGTGGGGAACCCGGGTACAAGATATTTCCACCTATGCTAAAGTATTGGCGCTGATTGCGGTCATCATTGCAGGCATTGTTAGACTCGGCCAGGGTAAGAAATAATATTAGTAGCAACTAATCTGTGTTAAGCATTTTCTGTGAGCCACACTCCTCTCAATGCTCATCGTGCATTATATCTTTCTTACAGTAACCTTATTTGGTAGGCATTATTATTATTCACATTTTATAGATGAGGAAACAGCCTGCAGAATTAAGTATCTTGGGCAGGGTCCGGTGGCTCACGCCTGTAATCCCAACCCTTTGGGAGGCAGAGGCGGGTGGATCATGATGTCAGCAGTTCAAGACCACCCTGGCCAAGATGGTGAAACCCTGTCTCTACTAAAAATACAAAAATTAATCAGGCCAGGTGGCAGGTGCCTGTAATCCCAGTTACTCAAGAGGCTGAGGCAGAGAATTGCTTGAACCTGGGAGGTAAAGGTTGCAGTGAGCTGAGATCGTGAGATCATGTCATTGCACTTCAGCCTGGCCAACAGAGCGAGATTCCATCTCAAAAAAAAAAAAAGCAAGTATCTTGCCCAAGTCCCTACTGGTAAGTAGAGGAGCTGTAATTTGTACTCAGGCCGACTGACCCCGAAGTCTGTCCTTTAACTTCCATGCATACTGCCTCCCAGAGGAGGCTGATCTTGGCAAAAGGGTTGACAGCCATGCCCTGGGAGCTGGGATTGGCAGATTGGGGTAGGAGGCAGGAATCAGGCAGCCTGCAGAGCTGCATTATTTCTATTCTCCAGCCCTTCTGCTCTCTGGTGGTTTTTCTTTTCTTTTTTTTTCTTTTTTTTTTTTCTTTTTTGAGACGGAGTTTTCGCTCTTGTTACCCAGGCTGGAGTGCAATGGCGCGATCTCGGCTCACCGCAACCTCCGCGTCCTGGGCTCAGGCAATTCTCCTGCCTCAGCCTCCTGCATAGCTGGGATTACAGGCACGCACCGCCACGCCCAGCTAGTTTTTTGTATTTTTAGTAGAGACGGGGTTTCACCATGTTGACCAGGATGGTCTCGATCTCTCGACCTCGTGATCCACCCGCCTCGGCCTCCCAAAGTGCTGGGATTACAGGCTTGAGCCACCGCGCCTGGCGGTTTTTCTTTTCTTTTCTTTCTTTCTTTCTTTCTTTCTTTTTTTTTTTTGAGACTGAGTCTTGCTCTGTTGCCTAGGCTGGAGTGCAATGGTGCGATCTCAGCTCACCATAAATTCTGCCTCCCAGGTTCAAGTGATTCTCCTGCCTCAGCCTCCCAAGTAGCTGGGACTACAGGTACATGCCACCATGCCCAGCTAATTTTTGTATTTTTAGTAGAGATGGGGTTTCACTATGTTGGCCAGGCTGGTCTTGAACTCTTGACCTTGTGATCTGCCTGCCTCGGCCTCCCAAAGTGCTAGTGTAATAGGTGGTGTGAGCCACCGCGCCTGGCCTCTCTATAGTGTTTTTTTTTTTTTTTTTTTTTTTTTTTTATCCTTGAAAGCTACCCTGGACTCTTCCTGTCAAGATCCCCATCCATGTGATTAGGATGCAGGGCATTCTGGCCTATCTCTGTAGACACCTCTCTTCTGTTTCCTGTTCCCTTATTTTGGTGCCCTTGCTGCCAAAGGTGTTGTAGGCCATTTGCTTGCTATTATTTTACCATATTCTCTCGGTTCTTTACTTTATTATCTTCAAGTGGGAGAATGGACCACTAATCCTCTGCCTTCCAATGTTCTTGGGTTCCAGGAGCCTCCACTCATTTTGAGAATTCCTTTGAGGGTTCATCATCTGCAATGGGTGACATTGCCCTGGCACTGTACTCGGCTCTGTTCTCCTACTCGGGCTGGGACACCCTCAACTATGTCACTGAAGAGATCAAGAATCCTGAGAGGTAGGTACCTCACCACCAACTTTCCATAGCAGTGACAGCCATCATTTAATGGGCTCCTACTATGTGCCACACAGCATATCACAACTGCCTCTGAGGTTGATTTTATCAGCCTCATTTTACTAGATGGGAGGCCTGAGGCCCAGAGAAGTAACTTGTCTATGATCACAGTAACAGAGCTACAATGTGAACTTTCTCATGTATGCTTTGTAATTTTTTTTTTTTTTTTTTTGGGACAGTCTTGCTTTGTCATCAGTTGCTAGGCTGGAGTGCAGTGGTGTGATCTTGGCTCACTGCAACCTCCACCTCCTGCCTCAGCCTCCCATGTAGGGGGGACTACAGGTGTGTGCCACCATGCCCAGCTAATTTTTGTATTTTAGTAGAGATGGGGTTTCACCATGTTGGCCAGGATGGTCTTGATCTCTTGACCTTGTGATCCGCCCACCTCAGCCTCCCAAAGTACTGGGATTACAGGTATGAGCCACTGCGCCTAGCTGCTTTGTAAATTTTTTAAAAGGCATTTTTACATTTGTTCATTAATTCCTGCTTTAATTATAAAGCAGGTTGTATTATGCACTTATGTATGTTTTTAAAACAGATTTTCCTTGATAGATATTTTATCCACCTTTATCCATAGATACATAGCTCTGGGATATAGGCTTCCAGAGACCTTCCTGTTTTCCTCTGATCCCTGCCTTATTTGATAAATTCATACTGACATTGTGGTATAGTTTCAGTCATTCAGTTATGTCACCCCACCATTGTTACTCTGTAGACATAGAGTGAGAAGAGCACTGGACAGGAAATCAAGGCCCTAGAGTTTGTCTTTCCACTGACCTGCTGGCTGACCTTGAGGGAGTTGCCCGGCCATCTCTTTGCCTGCTTCCTTATCTGTAATTGAGGGGGTTGAATTCTGTGATCTCCAGGGCCTTTCCTGGCTCTGAAATTCTGTGATTCTGGGAACTAAGATTTACCAAGGAGTGAAGTTTCTGTAAATTTTTTTTTTTTTTTTCTTGAGAGAGAGAGTCTCACTCTATTTCCCAGGCTGGAGTGGTGTGATGTTGGCTCATTGCAACCTCCGCCTCCCAGGTTCAAGTGATTCTCATGCCTCAGCCTCCCAAGCAGCTGGACTTACAGGCACTTGTCATCATGCCTGGCTATTTTTTCTATTTTTGGTAGAGACGGGTTTCACCATGTTGGCCAGGCAGGTCTTGAACTCCTGACCTCAGGTGATCCACCTGCCTCAGCTTCCCAAAGTGCTGTGATTACAGGCATGAGCCACCACACCTGGCCTTCTGTAAATTTTTAATTCAAAACAATCACAATTCTCATACCAATAAACTCCTTTTGGCTTGAGAAACAAAAGAGCACTCTTGGTACACAGCTGGTGGTACAGCTATGGGAGCAAAGAGAACAGAAACAGGATCAAGGCCTTGGAGGTGCTTCCACCTCCTGGACAGAAGCTGCATGACTCTGTATTTGCAGAGTATTTGCCCCACTCTATTCTTTTTGGCAGCCTTACTGTCAAGGATGTTTATAGAGATCATGGCTTTATTGGGCTACAGGGACCTTGAGAGCTCTTGGCATCTTTCTTTTGCCCATCAGTTAGGATGGCTCCTGAGGTTCTCAAACTGAGGAAAGGGGTGGGCAGACATAGGTTCCTTGTCAGATAGACACACTTCTCTTCCTACTGAAGGCCTATCTTATTCTCTGGAAATGTTAAATTTCACAATTTGCCTCCATAGTTTTTTATACTTCTTAACCTTGAGACAAAATTGCCAATGTTGATAATCTTAGAGACGGAATACTGACATGGAAAGATCTTTGGAGTATAAAGCAAAATAACCTCCCGTTTTCCTGTGCTGTTATGATGTTGGGACACTCTTTGTTAATCCTTTTCTTTTTTGGAGACAGGGTCTGGCTCTCTTGCCCAGGCTGGAGTGCAGTGGCCCAGTCACGGTTCACTGCAGCCTTGACCTCCCCTGGCTCAGATGATCCTCCCACCTCAGCCTCCCAAGTAGCTGGCACACACCATGACACTTGGCTAATTTTTTGTAGAGACTGGGTTTCGTCATGTTGCCCAGGCTGGTCTCCAACTCCTGGACTGAAGCCATCTGCCTGCCTCAGCCTCCCAAAGTGTTGGTACTACAGGCATGAGCCACTGTGCTCAGCTGCACAGTCCCATCGCCTAACATGATATTCCTTTCCCCTAATGTTATTTAGTACTTGTGTTCACAGCTTCACCCACTATCCAGGGCACCCTCAAAGACAAATGCATTGAGGAAATGTACCAAGAGTCTCCATACCTGGAAAGACTGGTGTGGCAGAGAAAGTCTAAGGATTAAAGGAGAGATAGGGATATGACTGTGGGACTAATGTGTATTTTATTTTATTTGGCTGTAGGAACCTGCCCCTCTCCATTGGCATCTCCATGCCCATTGTCACCATCATCTACATCTTGACCAATGTGGCCTATTATACTGTGCTAGACATGAGGGAGATCTTGGCCAGTGATGCTGTTGCTGTGGTAAAGGATTTTCACTAGCAGAAGGTTGAGGGTGTCTTGTGGGGTACTGGGTATATTCCAGCTTTTGAAAGTCCTGGAAAGTGGGTAGACAGTCTTGAAAGTTCATTTAGGATATGGGAGTTGCAAGAAGGCCCTGTTATCCCCACTGTGGAAGAGGGGTTGGATTCCTGGTAGGGGGCATTCCCATCCGTGTCTTTCATCCCTTTTAGATCCTGCTGACTCTTCCAATCTTTTCCTTTAGACTTTCGCAGATCAGATATTTGGAATATTTAACTGGATAATTCCATTATCAGTTGCATTATCCTGCTTTGGTGGCCTCAATGCCTCCATTGTGGCTGCTTCTAGGTAAGAGTGGCATCTTTTGTGGGGGGTGTATCATTGAAGAGCTATGGCAGTGGACTGTAGAACTTTCAGGACCTGGACTTTAATCATCTGTGTTCTCCAACTGATACCACAACCTCTTTCTTCTTGTTTCTAGTAGAAGCCTGCAGTTGTCATTAATCTCATTACTGATCTCCAGTCCATATCATTCAAACACTTTTGAAGGAAGAGATGGCAGAGAGGGAGGGCCATGTGGCAGGTGAACCAGGCTGCACTGTGTCCACCACTTTTCTCAGCTTCTCCTATTTTACCTAATATAGGCTTTTCTTTGTGGGCTCAAGAGAAGGCCATCTCCCTGATGCCATCTGCATGATCCATGTTGAGCGGTTCACACCAGTGCCTTCTCTGCTCTTCAATGTAAGTAAGCTCAAGGATGAGACTGAAAGCCAGATTGTGGGGGAAACTTTAGTAACAGTAGAAGCGACTGTTCTAGCTTCCTGAAAGCTCTAAAATAGATTCTGATAGAAAAACTATTGGTGGATCAGAATGTTCACCATGGGCAAGGCACTATGCTAGCTGCTACTGGGAGAATCCAAATGCTCTAAGGAATGGTACACCTCTGCTGTTAAGATAAGGTATAAAGTACATGGACTACATTGTAATGACTGATTGCCATGATAGATAGCAAGTAATATGGTGTTTAAGAGAAGAAATGATCATTTCCATGGAGTAGAGGGTGAATGAAGGAATATTTCTTGAAGTGCATTATATCTTAAAATCTATCAAAGTGTTCTCAGAAAAGTGCATCTTGATGGCTAGGGTTGCAAATGGTAAGATGGGATGGGTTTTAGGTAGGAGAAATAGCAAATCCTTTGGTAAAGTAGTATGAGTTTTAATACAGGTTGAGTATCTCTAATCTGAATATCCAAAATCTGACATGCTCTAAAAATCTGAAACTTTTTGAGCGTTGACTTAACACTCAAAGGAAACGCTCATTGGAGCATTTTGGATTTTTGGACTAGGGATACCCAACATGCAGTAGTAGATAAGAGCTGGACATTATTGTAGGTTGGAGCCATTATGAAGAGGGTCCTATGCAAGACTTTCGAGGGATTCTTTTGCACTTGCTTTATACTGGGTTAACTTGAAAAATGGGTTGAAAAACCAGTTGAGACTACTGACTTATAAGAGAGGGGATAAGGTACTGAAACTTGGGTGTTAAAGGGAGTAAAAACAAGAGAACCAGGAGACTCTGAGGACTGATGGGGGATGGATTTGTGGGGCATAAAGGGAGTGCAAAGCCCTTAGAGTAACGAAGGCCCTGAGAGGAGTTGACTTGGGCTCTCACTTACAGGGTATCATGGCATTGATCTACTTGTGCGTGGAGGATATCTTCCAGCTCATTAACTACTACAGCTTCAGCTACTGGTTCTTTGTGGGGCTCTCTATTGTGGGTCAGCTTTATCTGCGCTGGAAGGAGCCTGATCGACCTCGTCCCCTCAAGGTAAGGCACCTCCATCCTATCTCTGCTCCATCTGAAATAGCTAGAGTTGCTACTATAGGGGACCATTACAAGAGAGTTTATTTAGAAACCTTTGCCTGGGACTTAGTGGTTAGTAGGTGTTGAAATTAAAGGTATGGGAAGAAGGCTCGGTGTGCTAATCCTTAGGGGAGGTGTGGTTATTGTAGCTGTTAAGAATCCTGAGCGGTCCACCCCAGTTGTGTTTCCTGTGCCCCTAGCTCAGCGTTTTCTTCCCGGTTGTATTCTGCCTCTGCACCATCTTCCTGGTGGCTGTTCCACTTTACAGTGATACCATCAACTCCCTCATCGGCATTGCCATTGCCCTCTCAGGCCTGCCCTTTTACTTCCTCATCATCAGAGTGCCAGAACACAAGCGACCTCTTTACCTCCGTAGGATTGTGGGTAAGCCTTGCATCCTTAAGTTAGCTCAGCTATTGTAAAGCTTGGTTTCTGCCTTTCTCTCTAAATCTAGGCTCCAAAGACATCTTTGCCATAGTCCCTTCTTATTAACTCTTTGGCTTAATGGAATCACTCCCCTCAAGCCCATTTCCATTTAATGACTCTTGAACTCAGCCCAGTTGACCTCTTCTCAATTCCAACTCAAATTTCTCTTTGGAGGGTCTGCCACAACGTACCTCCAGATCCTGTGTATGTCAGTTGCTGCAGAAATGGATTTGGAAGATGGAGGAGAGATACCCAAGCAACGGGATCCCAAGTCTAACTAAATACCACCTGGAATCCTGATGTGGAAAGAAGGGGTTTCTGGTCTATGGCTAGAGCTAAGGAAGTTGAAAAGGAAAGCTCACTTCTTTGGAGGCACCTGTCCAGAAGACCAGCCTAGGCAGCTTCAACCTCTGAATTTACTTTTTGAAATGCAAAGTAATTTATTTGTTTTGCTACATACTGTTCCAGACTTTTAAAGAGGACAATAAAGCACACTGTGGGGAGGAGCATGTCAGGAGTGAGCTTGGTTGTTTTAGTAGCACCTGAATATGCCTACCTACTCTTTTCCTTTAAAATGACCCACAAAACTCCAATTCCCTGTCTTTTAGAGAGACATGAAGCTGTCACAGGTGCTGGATGGCAATAAAAGATTATGTTCCTAGTCTGACTGGCTTCATTTTTTTTTTTTTTTTTTTTGAGACAGTCTTGCTGTGTCATCCAGGCTGGACTGGAGTGCAGAGGTGTGATCCTTATGGGAGGTGGGGTTATTTTTGTGGCTCACAGCAAACTCTGCCTCCTGGGTTCAAGCAATTTTCCAGCCTCAGCCTCCAGAGTAGCCGGGATTACAGGCATGCAGCACCCCACCTGGCTGTTTGTATTTTTAGTAGAGATGGGGTTTCATCATATTGGCCAGGCTAGACTTGAACTCCTGACCTCAGGTGATCCACCCACTTCGGCCTCCCAAAGTGCTGAGATTACAGGTGTGAGCCACTGTGCCTGGCCTGGCTTCATTTTGTATAGTATCTCTAGGACAGCTCCCATTAGCCTAAAAACACAAAGACTAAAAACAATCTTATGCTTGAAAGTGTATCTCTTCTCTCTCAAGTTAGCTGCTGAAGGCTGATAAAACCAGGGTCTACACAAAGGCAGACAACAGAACACCTAAATGCTCTAGTGAAATGTTGGATTGTTACATAAAAATACATCAACTTCCTTTTTGAGACAGGATCTTGCTCTGCGGCCACGGCTGGAGTATATATGGCACCATGATCTTGGCTTTCAGCAGCCTCAACCACCTGGGCTTAAGCTATCCTCTTACCTCAGCCTCCCAGGTAGCTGGGACTGTGGGCAAGGACCACCACACTTGGCTTTTTAAAAATTTTTTAAAATTTATTTTATTATTTTTTTTTGTATTTTTAGTAGAGACGGGGTTTCACCATGTTGACCAGGATGGTCTCGATCTCTTGACCTCGTGATCCACCCGCCTTGGCCTCCCAAAGTGCTGGGATTATAGGCGTGAACCACTGCGCCCGGCCTCGGCTAATTTTTTAGTAGAGGCAAGTCTCACCACATTGCCCAGGCTGGTCTCAAACTCCTCGACTCAAGTGATCCTCCCGCCTTAGCCTCCTGAAGTGCTGAGATCATAGGCATGAGCTACCTTGCCCAGCCCAGAACTGTCATTCTTTTTTTTTTTTTTTTGAGACGGAGTTTTGCTCTCGTTACCCAGGCTGGAGTGCAATGGCGTGGTCTCGGCTCACAGCAACCTCCGCCTCCTGGGTTCAGGCAGTTCTCCTGCCTCAACCTCCTGAGTAGCTGGGATTACAGACATGTGCCACCATGCCCAGCTAATTTTTTGTATTTTTAGTAGAGATGGGGTTTCACCATGTTGACCAGTATGGTCTCGATCTCTTGACCTCGTGATCCACCCACCTCGGCCTCCCAAAGTGCTGGGATTACAGGAGTGAGCCACCACGCCTAGCCAGAACTGTCATTCTTAATTATCACTAAGAATTTGCATATATCTACTTCTTGAAATTTTTAAAGTAACCTTGGATTAAGAAATAAGGATACTATATTTAGAGACAATCTCAACTTTCAACTTATCAGCCACACCTCTTATGACTGTAATCCAAATGTGGATAGAACATATGTAGGGGTTGGAAGTTTAAACTTTTTTTTTTTTTTGAGATAGAGTCTCACTCTGTTGCCCAGGCTGGAGTGCAGTGGCATGATATTGGCTCAATGCAACCTCCGCCTCCCGGGTTCAAGTGGTTCTCCTGCCTCAGCCTCCTGAGTAGCTGGGACTACAGGTGTGTGCCACCACGTGTGCCTGTTTTAGTATATTTAGTAGAGATGGGCTTTCACCACGTTGGCCAGGCTGGTCTCAAACTCCTGACCTCAGGTGATCCACCCGTCTTGGCCTCCCAAAGTGCTGGGTATTCTTCAGTTTTCTGAAGCACACACTCATTTCCCTGTTCAATAAGTATCAGGAAGCAGCATGTAGTACAGAAGTTTACTAACTCTGTGAATGGGAAGATCACTTGGCTACCCAGTGCTGTCTTATAAATATGAGAGTGTGTCATGAAATCAGTTTTTAAAATGAAATCTCTGTATGCCACAGGTCCTAGGACTGGGACAAGGACACAGTGTCAAGTCTTGTTTGAGGATGAATCTTTGAAGAGACAGAGTTCCTCCCAGAATGAGCAGGGAACATAAGTCAGCCAAGTGTGTCACGCCAGGGATACTTTGACTTTGGTTTGCTGGTGCTGCGGGTGCTGCTGCTGCTGCTGCTAGGGATATTGGGAGGGTTATTCTTTACAGGTTGTAGGAGCGGGTTGTGGGTAAAGGTCTGTCGTAAAGGACCTGAGGGGAGAAGAGAAAACAAATCTCAATGAACAACAGAAAGGAAGAAACAAAAGACAGAATTTGGTCCAAAAGGACTATTTACCCTTGGCTGCTAGCTCCAAGTGATTCCGCATGCGGTATTCTCGCTCTTGCTGCTGTTGCATCAATTCAGCATTTTTCCAGCCTGTGTAAAGAGGAGCAAGAGAGTCTGTCCCATTCATGTTTTTAGACCACTTTCCCTGGTCCTGTTTCACAGAGGACGAGCCCTTACCTCTTTTCAAGCTCTTTAGAAAGCCTTCCCGTGGAGCCAAAGTGTCAGGGTTACGTACGACACGCTGGGGGATTTTAAGTACAGTGCGTACTGCTGGAATCCGGAGACAAGACACTTGGGCCAAGGAAAACAAATTGGAGGAGAGCCAGTACATAAACACTGCCTGGGTGAGAACACAGAGAAAGGACTCAGAAGCTATATCCCTGGTCAGCTTGCTAGGTGGCTGGGTGGCAGAAGGCCTTGGAGCCAAGCCCATTAAGCATTACATACCGTGGGGAAATGGACAGTTACGGGAAAGGCTGCCAGGGGCATCAGTCTGATCACATTTCTCATCCACTTAAGGTCAGAATTTTGTACACCTGTCTCAGCACCTAACTGCCAAAAGCAGCAGGGTGGAAAAGTCGGAAAAGCATGTTAGTTTCAGCAAATTTTTCTTAACCTCTTACCCATCAACTCTATTTCTTCAGCGAGTGAAGGATGACCATTCTGTACAACTACTTTACCCTCCAATCCTAGTTCACTTTGCAGGCCTGGCACTTGGCCAATTTAGGCTTACCTCAAGGACAACCCACATTGTAGCAGTGACTAACACTGGTAACACGAAGATAGGATCGGATACTGTGAGATCCTGGAACCACCAGAGGCCACCTGTCTGCAGGCTGGGCACAGGAAGGTGGGCCATCTCTCTCAAAGCCAGGAAGAAGGAGATGAAGATTGGGGCCTATTACACAAGATAAACAGTGTCAGCGTGCTTTACCAGAGGAGACATTTTCATCACCCCACTACTCAAAGCCATGTATAATCCACCACCGTTTGCTTTTTTGGGGGCCTGGGGCACATGAAACATAGAGAGGAAATTTGATGGGTTTAGGATGAAATAAGGAAGGAAATGTTTTTGCTCACCTGAGTCAGAGGGAGAATTAGAGGTTTAAAAAAGCTAATATCATGCTTTTTCTGGTAAATTGACATCTCTGCAGAAGCCCTGTAAACTGTGAGGTGAGAGGAAATTAATGGTTGGGCTAACAGTTATGTCAGTGGAGGTGAACATCCTTATCACCTACCTGGCCTGGGAAATTTCTAACCAACCCTGGCCAGTCCCTGGGAGCACTGGGCCCAAGAAACAGATAAACCTTTACAACTTGCCTAACTGTGTCAACTTCTGATTTACATTGTTCCTTTCTCCCAGCAAAATGTCAGGAAAAGTGCAAATGTGGTCCTCTCCCACACTCATTCTGCAAATGACTCACACTCAGCATGGTCTCCAGCCAACCTGGCCTCTTTGATTCGAGTGGTAAACTTCTGGATTTCTGGTGCGTGATTTTGATTCTTGACTGCCTCTCGCTGGCCCTTCAAGATGACAGGAAAAATCAGGCAGCGGGCTAAGATTGTACCTGGAAAACACAAACTAAAATTGGAGTGAAACTAAAGCAGTTCTGCAGCTAGAAGGTTGAAGGTTTTTAGGTCCTTACTGAAAGGGTCTTTTATTCTTGCCTTGTCCATACTGTGACTCATGCCTGAGTCCCAGAAGTAAGGTCAGGGGTATGAATTAGCTGCTTTAAGGCTCAAATCAGTTCTCTGATTTGGCATCATAAAAGTATGGCATTAACTTCTCCAAGCAGATGATCAGGAATCCTGTTTGTTTCCTCAAACAAAAAGCTGACAGAAAGCACTTTCCTAGATCAATAGCTTCCAAACTTTTCTATGACCAAAAGAGCCTCCCCGTTCCATCAAACTGTATGTGTAGCCCCAGTGTACCAAAAAACAACAACAACAACAACAACAACAACAACAACAAAAACCACAAAAAAACTTGGTTCCAAGAATGAAGTTTGAAAGCCATTGTTCTAGAAATCCCTGGAGTCGGAAGTAATCTGGTGGCCTACTGCTTTAGTTCCTTCATTTTTCTTTTTTTTTTTTTGAGACGGAGTTTCGCTCTTGTTACCCAGGCTGGAGTGCAATGGCGCGATCTCGGCTCACCGCAACCTCCGCCTCCTGGGTTCAGGCAATTCTCCTGCCTCAGCCTCCTGAGTAGCTGGGATTACAGGCACGCGCCACCACGCCCAGCTGATTTTTTGTATTTTTTAGTAGAGACGGGGTTTCACCTTGTTGACCGGGATGGTCTCGATCTCTTGACCTCGTGATCCACCCGCCTCGGCCTCCCAAAGTGCTGGGATTACAGGCTTGAGCCACCGCGCCCGGCTTAGTTCCTTCATTTTTCTCACACTTCATGTTTCCTGGTCATTCCAACAAATACAACTAGGTTATAGGTTTAGGCTTTATCAACTTTATGATGGATGATGTGGAGTGGAAAGAGAAGGGAGCTAAGGATAGAACCCAGACTACTGGCACTGAAGGAGTAGATAAGATAATTTGGAGATGCAAAAGTACGGTTAGAAAGACAGGAAGAAAATCAGGAAAGATTATCATAAAAGCCAAAGGACTGGCTTTATTTTTTATTTTTTTGAGACAGAGACATTTTCTTGCTCTGTCACCCAGGCTGGAGTGCAGTGTTGTGATCTCAGCTCGCTGCAACCTCCACTTCCTAGGTTCAAGCGATTTTCCTGCCTCAGCCTCCTGAGTAGCTGGGACTACAGGCGCCTGCCACCACACCTGATTAATTTTAGTACTGTAGAGACAGGGTTTCACCATATTGGCCAAGCTGGTCTTGAACTCCTGACCTTATAATCTGTCCACCTTGGCCTCCCAAAGTGCTGGGATTACGGGTATGAGCCACCATGCCTGGCAAAGGATTGATTTTAAGGTCTAAAGTGTCTGATGCAGAAAGGCCAAGTATAATAAAAGTGGATTTAGCAATGATGTCACTGGCAGTTCAGATGAGATATTAGTCAAAGCCAGACTGCTGAGAGTCAGAGTAAATGGAAAGAAGTAGGCTCACTGGATGCAGAGCAATCTTTTATTTATTTTTTTTGAGATGAAGTCTCACTGTCGCCCAGGCTGGAGTGCAGTGGTGTGATCTCAGCTCACTGCAAACTCTGCCTCGAGGGTTCAAGAGATTCTCCTATCTCAGGTTCCCAAGTAGCTGGGACCACAGGCGCGCACCACCACGCCCAGCTAATTTTTGTAATTTTAGTAGAGACGGGGTTTCACTGTGTTAGCCAAGATGGTCCTGATCGCCTGACCTCATGATCTGCCCGCCTCAGCCTCCCAAAGTGTTGGGATTACAGGCATAAGCCATTGCACCCAGCAATTTTTGTATTTTTTTCTAATAGAGATGGGGTTTCACCATATTGGATGGGCTGGTCTTGAACTCCTGACCTTGTGATCCGCCTGCCTTGGCCTCCCAAAGTGCTGGGATTACAAGTATGAGCCACTGTACCTGGCCCATGCAAAGCAATCTTTTAATTAACAGCCATCAAAAGAATGAAGCCGTCATTTGTGACAACGTGGATGGAACTGGAGATCACTAAGTGAAATAAGGCAGGCACAGAAAGACAAATATCGTCATATTCTCACTTATTTGTGGGATCTAAAAATAAAAACAATTGAAATAATAGGCAGAGAGTAGAAAGGAGGTTACTAGAGGCTGGGAAGGGTAATCAGGGTTGGGGATGGTTAATGGGTAAAAAAAATAGAAAGAAGGTTACCAGAGGCTGAGAAGGATAATCAGGGTTGGGGATGGTTAATGGGTTAAAAAAAAAAAAATAGAATGTAAAAATTAGCCAGGCGTGGTGGCACACCTGTAGTCCCAACTACTTGGGAGGCTGAGGCAAGAGAATCAGGAGGTGGAAGTTGCAGTGAGCCAAGACTGCATCGCTGCACTCCAGCCTGGGGGACAGAGTGAGACTCTGTTTCAATAAATAAATAAAAATAAAATAAAAAGTATAATTGGATTGTTTTTAACTTAAAGGATAAATGTTTGAGGGGATGGATATCTCATTCTCCATAATGTGATTATTAAACCTTACATGCCTATATCAAAATATCTCATATAGCCCATAAATATATACACCTACTAGGTATCCACAAAAATTAACAGCAACAAAATATAAATAAATAACAGCCATCAAAGAAAGAAGATAGGGTAGTAGGTAAAGGAGAACTAAAAATGAAGGCAAGAAATTTTCCCCCAACTAACACATGGGTATGCTTGAGCATGTTTACATGTTCAGGGTAGGGCAGTAAGGAAGAAAACGTTGAAGGCACAGGAGAGGGAAGGGATAATTGATGGAGCAAGGTGGAGAACAGACACAGAATTCAAAGCAGAGTTTTAGCCTTTTTAACAGCAATGAGAGTTGCTTCCCAATTTGGGGGTTTAAGTGCCTGACCTGACCTTCTACTCTTCTAAACCAGGACAGCTTCATGACTGTTAATAAGATCCCCTTACTCTAGCGCCATGTTTGTATTCAAATATCTACTTGTTGAATCCTAGATGATCTGGTGGTTTTATAATGCTCTTTAAGAATTATAAGAGATTATAACTGCCAGTGACATCATTGCTAAATCCACTTTTATTATACTTGGCCTTTCTGCATCAGACACTTTAGACCTTAAAATCAATCCTTTGCCAGGCATGGTGGCTCATACCTATAATCCCTACATTTCTTTTAAGAAATATAGGTAGAATGCATCTAGGTATCATGAGCCTCTATCACTCGTTTGAAATCATCTGCTTTTCTGACCCCAGAGCTTCTGCAACTACTTCCTGAATCCATTCAAAGAATTGCCATTGATGAAGTTCTATCCCTAACCCATGTCCCAGGGTATATTCCCCTTACAGGTAGCAATGGCCCCCCACCAAGGTAGGCCCAGTTCAACATGCACAAATTCCAGTAAGTTCTGGATCAGTCCCACTGGGGTGTATGAACCCAGCCCCAGTTCAGTGAAGCTCGTTTCTGCAGCAGCTTGGACTGTATCTGCAGTCTCTCCAGAAGCCACCTCAGGTACTGCTGTAGGTGAGGGAGTTACAGGAACAACAGGAGGGGCCTGAACCTGTGTGAAAAAAAGCCTTGTATGATATTCAGTAGAATGAACACTTAGAAAGTAAGGCCCTCTTATGACAACTCAGTACTGGGTTCTGTTCTCTCTACTTCTTGTTCTTCCAGGTTAGCCTAGTGTCCACAGAATTCAAGCTTAAAAAGGACATCTCGCCGGGCGCGGTGGCTCAAGCCTGTAATCCCAGCACTTTGGGAGGCCGAGGCGGGTGGATCACAAGGTCGAGAGATCGAGACCAACCTGGTCAACATGGTGAAACCCCGTCTCTACTAAAAATACAAAAAATTAGCTGGGCATGGTGGCGCATGCCTGTAATCCCAGCTACTCAGGAGGCTGAGACAGGAGAATTGCCTGAACCCAGGAGGCGGAGGTTGCGGTGAGCCGAGATCGCGCCATTGCACTCCAGCCTGGGTAACAAGAGCGAAACTCTGTCTCAAAAAAAAAAAAAAAAAAAAAGGACATCTCATTTTTGTCAATAGGTAGGAGTAGAAGTTACTTTAAGATTTCATGACTTCCCTTCATGCTGGGAAGTTATTTCTTATATTACTGTTTCCCAAACTTCAACCATATGAATATCATGATTTTGGCCATATATTAATATGAAACAATTACTTTTCTTTAAGACAGCTCAGAAAACCATATAACATCTCTCTTGTTGTACTCTCCATCATTTCCCCACTGAATTGAAAATCCATCCTAAGCAGAGATGTTACCATTTTGGAGAGCTGTGTGGAACGTGGACAAGAACTCTGCCCTATATTCTTTCCCCTGCTCTCAAACAAAACAAAATACGAAACCAATCAGGAAACACCACCACTAATGTTGCAGAGACGAAAGACCTCTTACCTGGACTTCTGCAAACGAGATGGCAGAGGTACTGAAGTTGCGGGGGCCGGGAGCCGCAAAGAGGTAGTGTGGGCGACGGCAGCACTGAGCGGCTGGGAATAGGAGCCGCGGGGTCAGCGGTTTCCCGAGCCATTGCAAGGGCCCTGCGACGCTGTGGACCTGAGCGTGTAAAGGGATGATGGAGCCCCTTTACCCGGAGCAGAAATCCTAGCGTGGGGGCAAAGAGCATTCACTATGCTCACTCCAAGAAGCAGGCCGGCCGGCTACTACAGGTGAGGAGATTGCTATTACCGTGCGCAGACTGCTGGCCCGAAGGCGTGCAGCTGGTGGCGGCTGGAGAAAGCAGCTCAAACCCCGGTTCCCCGCACCTCAGTTATCGCAGACCCACATCTGGGGACCCTGAGAATGAGGCCGAGGAGCTCTCGCCAGAGGCGAAGCCAGTTCTCAGGAGCTGACAACCAAACCATGCTGCTGAGCCCACAGAGTGGGGGAACTAACCCTCGCACGTCTTCACACGACCAGAGGTCATGACATTCAGGTCCCGGTGAGCAGGTTTATTCATACCCCTAGCACGAGCTGTCCTGGGGCTTGGGTCACTGGGTCAGGGGAGCATCCTGGTGCTCAACCCCGGGGAATCCTTACCTGACGCCCGGGCTGTAGCAGGCGCAGAATCTCCCGGCGTCCGCACATCAGTCTCATCGCCATTTTGACCGGAAGAGGACTCGCGTTTGCGCCTGCGCGCTAAGAACCACAACCACGCGAGAGGAAGCACTTTGGGAAGAGAGCCTGTAGCCAGAGTTGTCGCCGCAGATCCCGTGGTAAAAGAGAACCGAGACTGGCGGCCATATTTGAAGCGGGTAAAAATTTGTAAAGCAACGTTACCCGTGAACACGCAGAGAGCCTTTTCTGGAGATTGAAAGGAAGTTGAAGAGCCAGGTTAGCTATCATCGTAAAACTATCCTCGTTAGTGATGGCGTAAACCTGGGTAATTTTCCTCTAATGTCGCGATTGTCCTCTGATTTGTTAGGTTAAAAATATCCTCAGAACAGTCTTGGCTGTACTTGCGGAAGATTTTTTTTCCCACTTAATGATGTTCGATTCTTATTGCTAGGTAATATTGTAATTGCAGATCCAATGAAATTTGAGGGTAGAGTCTAACAGAAATGAAGAGAAGGCAGCTTCTGGGAAATATTTTTCTCACAAATAAAAAGAAAAAGCTTCCAGAGGAGACTCCACCTTTCCATTTTTTCTTCTGTTAGTGGAGTTGTGTGAGGACTGACCCTGAGGGGACAAGTTTAGAGATGAAGAGCTCACGTGCTGAAGATGGTTGAAAGCAAAGCTAGAAAACACCCGAATACTTGTTGATATCATTGAGCTGCTGTACCATGCCTGGAACCACCTATTTCCAGACATTATTGTGCAAGATAATTAAAGGTCTTGGCTGGGCGCGGTAGCTCATTCCTGTAATCTAAGCACTTTGGGAGGCTGAGGTGGGTGGATCATGAGGTCAGGAGTTCTAGACCAGGATGGCCAACTTGGTGAAACCCCCTCTCTACTAAACAAAACAAAAAACCAAAAAACAAAGAACTATCCGGGTGTTGTGGCATATACCTGTAGTTCCAACTACTTGGGAGGCTGAGGCAGGAATCTCTTGAACCCGGAGGCAGAGGTTGCAGTGAGAGGAGATCGAGCCACTGCACTCCAGCCTGGGCGACAGAGTGAGACTCCATCTCAAAAAAAAAAAAAGATAATTAAAGGTCTTTATTGTTTAGACTCTTAAGTATCTATTGCTTGGGTGTTGTCTTTCTTTAAGTTAAAAGCATTCATCTCCAGAGAAGAAAAAAGTTACTGCTCAGAAAGGTGGAGTTGATTACATTTGAACCCTTGCAAAGTCTTTCCTTTTTTTTTTTTTTTTTTTTGGAAAGAGATGGGATTTCACCATGTTGGCCAGGATAGTCTCAGTATCTTGCCTTCGTGATATGCCTGCCTCGGCCTCCCAAAGTGCTGGGATTACAGGCGTGAACCACAGCGCCTGGCTTTGTTTGTTTGTTTGAGACGGAGTTTTGCTCTTGTTACCCAGGCTGGAGTGCAATGGCGCGATCTCGGCTCACCCCAACCTCCGCCTCCAGGGTTCAAGCAATTCTCCTGCCTCAGCCTCCTGAGTAACTGGGACCACAGGTTCGCGCCACCATGCCCAGCTAATTTTTGTATTTTTAGTAGAGACGGGGTTGCACCATGTTGACCAGGATGGTTTCAATCTCTTGACCTTGTGATCCACCCACCTCGACCTCCCAAAGTGCTGGGATTATAGGTGTGAGCCACCGCACCCGGCCCTTGTCTTTCAATGTGCAGATTACTTTCTAAACAACAAACTGTAGTTTCGAAAAGATACAATAACCTGAAATGATTTCAGTGACTGCTAATTTGGGACGATTATGAATGTACCTGACAGATATGGCAAAAATAGGAGGCAAAGAAATATAATATAGATTTAGTTATAATTAGTGGTGTATGCTAACACTTGCATATGTTGGATGCTATCTTAAACATTAATATATTTTTGATATGTAAACATTGATTATTTATTTATTTATTAGAATGAGACAGGATTTCTCCATGTTGGTCAGGCTGGTCTCGAACTCCTGACCTCAGGTGATCCGCCTGCCTTGGCCTCCCAAAGTGCTGGGATTATAGGTGTGACCCACCGCACCCGGCAATTTATTGATTTTTTTTTAGAGATTACTTTTAAAAATCAATATAGTGGCCAGGTGCAGTGGCTCACACCTGTAATCCCAGCACTTTGGGAGGCCAAGGTGGGCGAATCACGAGGTTCACTTGCCTTGGCCTCCCAAAGTGCTGGGATTTGGTGAAACTTCATCTCTACTAAAAATACAATAAGTTAGCTGTGCATGGTAGCGCGTGCCTGTAATCCCAGCTACTCAGGAGGCTGAGGGTAGGAGAATTAATTGAGCCCAGGCACAGGTTGCATTGAGCCAAGACCGCCTCACTGCACTGCAGCCTGGGCAACAGAGCCAGACTCTGTTTAAAAATATATATATATCAATACAGTTAGAAGTAATTACAAATACACAGCTACAGAGCACTTTGCAGGGTGACTATCTTATGGTACACTTCTACTTTGGTGGCCCCAAATGAACCATGATTCCCACTATTTGCAACTTTTTAGGAGTTCTCTTCTCTTGAGTCTGGCAGGTCCCTTAACTTGCTTTAATCAGTAGAATGTGTCAGAAGTGATGCTATGCAAGTTTGGTCCTATGCCTTAAGAAAGCCTGATAGTTACTGATTTTGCATTCACGGCAAGCCAGCTGCTGTGTTAGAAGTTTGACTTCTCACACTTCAATCCTGTGAAAAGCCCAACCAGCCACGTGAAGAAGCACAGAGGTTTGGGCTAATAGCCTCAGTTGAACCCTCAGCTAGCAGTCATCACCAACTTTTGCCAGCCATGTGAAGAAGGCCATTTAAAAAGTGGATTCTCAGCTGGGCATGGTGGCGCGTGCCTGTAATCGCAGCTACTCAGGAGGCTGAGGCAGGAGACTTGCTTGAACCGGGAAGCGGAGGTTGTGGTGAGCTGATATCGAGCCATTGCGCTCTAGCCTAGGCAGCAAGAGTGAAATTTAGTCTCAAAAAAAAAAAAAAAAAAAAAAAAAAGTGGATTCTCCAGCCCACTGGAACCACCTCAGGTGAGACTCCATGTGGAGCAAAGAAAGGCTATTTGAGTTCATGTTGCAAAATTACAACCAAATAAATAAAATGATTGTGGTTTTAAGTTACTAAGTTTTAGAGTGCTTTGTTGTGCAACAATAGTTGAAATACACAAGCAAACTTGAGAGATACTGTGCCTTGGGTTCCAGACCAATACAATGAAGCCAATATCATAAAAAAGTGAGTCACAGGACACTGTGACTCACTTTGTTTGTTTTGCAGGGCATATGAAAGTTTTGTTTGGCCAGGCTTGGTGGCTCAGGCCTCTCAGCACTTTAGGAGGTGAGGCAGGTGGATCACTTGATCTCAGGAGTTTGAGACCAACGTGGGCAACATGGCAAGACCCTATCTCTTAAAAAAAAAAGTTATATTTACACTATACTGCAGTCTTTTAAGTGCAATAACATGTTTAAAAAACAATGTACATCCCTGAATTTGAAAATATTTTATTGCTTAAAAATATTAACAATCACCTGAGCCTTCAGCAAGTCATATTTTTGCTGGTGGAGGGTCTTGCCTCAATGTTGATATTCGTTGATTAGGGTGGTGGTTGCTGAAGGTTGGGGTGGCTTAAAATACAATGAATTTAGGCCGGGCGCGGTGGCTCACGCCTGTAATCCCAGCACTTTGGGAGGCCGAGGTGGGTGGATCACAAGGTCAAGAGATCGAGACCATCCTGGTCAACATGGTGAAACCCCGTCTCTACAAAAAATACAAAAAATTAGCTGGGCATGGTGGCACGTGCCTGTAATCCCAACTACTCAGGAGGCTGAGGCAGGAGAATTGCCTGAACCCAGGAGGCGGAGGTTGGGGTGAGCCAAGATCATGCCATTGCACTCCAGCCCGGGTAACAAGAGTGAAACTCCGTCTCAAAAAAAACAAAAACAAAAAAAAAAACAATGAATTTTGCTGCGTCAACTGACTATGCTTTTCTTTTTTTTTTTTTGGGACGGAGTTTCACTCTTGTCACCCAGGCTGGAGTGCAATGGCGCGATCTCGGCTCACCGCAACCTCCGCCTCCTGGGTTCAGGCAATTCTCCTGCCTCAGCCTCCTGAGTAGCTGGGATTACAGGCACGCGCCACCATGCCCAGCTCATTTTTTTGTATTTTTAGTAGAGACGGGGTTTCACCATGTTGACCAGGATGGTCTCAATCTCTTGACCTCGTGATCCGCCCGCCTCGGCCTCCCAAAGTGCTGTGATTACAGGCGTGAGCCACCGCGCCCGGCTATCTGACTATGCTTTTCATGAAAGATTTCTCTATAGCATGTGATGCTATTTGATAGGATTTTACCCACAGTAGAACTTCTTTCTTTTCTTTTCTTTTTTTTTTGAGATGGAGTATCACTCTGTCGCCCAGACAGGAGTGCAGTGGTGTGATCTCAGCTCATGGCAGCCTTTGCCTCCTGAGTTCAGGCGATTCTCCTGCCTCAGCCTCCTGGATAGCTGGGATTACAGGCGCATGCCACCACACCTGGCTAATTTTTGTATTTTTAGTAGAGACTGGGTTTTGCCATGTTGGTCTGGCTGGTCTCAAACTCCTGACCTGAGGTGATCCACCCACCTCTGCCTCCCAAAGTGCTGGGATTATAGGCATGAATCACCACGCCCGGCCAGTAGAACTTCTTTCAGAATTGGAGTTAGTCCTCTCAAACCCTGCTGCTTTGTCCATTAAGTTTATGTAATATTTTAAATCTTTTGTTGTTATTTCAACAACATTTCATAGCATCTTCACCAGGAGTAGATTTCATTTCAAGAAACCACTTTCTTGTCTAGGAGAAGCAACTCCTCATCTATTAAAGTTTTATCATGAGATTGTAGCCACTGAGTCACATCTTCAGGCTCCATTTCTAATTCTAGTTCTCTTGCTATTTCTGCCACATCTGCAGTTAGTTACATCCCTCCATGAAGTCTTGGATCCCTCAACATCAACCATGAGAGTTGGAATCAATTTCTTCTAAACTCCTGTTAATGTTTATATTTTCACCTCCTCCCATGAATCACAAATGCTCTTAATGGCATCTAGGATGGTGAATCCTTTCCAAAAGGTTTTCAGTTGACTTTTCCCAGATCCATCATAGGAATTGTATCTCTGGCACCCATAGCTTTACAAATTTTTTTTTTTTTTTGAGATGGAGTTTTGCTCTTGTTGCCCA